ATAACGACGTCTTTTCAGTCCGGAAAATAAACCATGTTAATTTTAATGGCAATAAATTTTTTATGCGACAAGATTTAATGTACTAAAGTATTTCTTTTTTGATTGTCCTCATTGTTATTACTGCCAAATAGCGTTCTCGAATTTCTGAAGTAAAAATTTGGTTATCACGAATAACGATTGATATGTCATTATCGATAAATTAGATAATGAAATATTATAATTCAAATCATAAATAAAAAACTTGAAATATTATAAATATAATTAATTAAAATTAGATATTAACTATAAATAGGTGTGGATATTGAAACCATTGCACTTTTCAAAAGCATTTAAGTTAATGCAATTAAAGTTTATTAAATATCAAAAAGCATTTTTAATTAAAAAGAAGTGATTTTAATGTAATAATTTTTATCGAAATACGCATGTTATATTGAATTAAATTCATTGTAACATGTTCGGGAAACTCTATAATTGACATTGCCGCTCTGCAAATGGTGAACTTGGCATTGCCGCTATCTCGTGATGGAATCCGTAAATTAGTTTCGAGAAAATTCTGATCGTTGCTGCGCTATTTCGCGGTGTAATCTGTGAACTACACTCGTCCGATAAACGTGGAATTATAAGTGCGAGACTAATTTTGACAAGCTGTCCCGATAACCGGCGTTTTCGTTGAAATTTTCTGATTTTCATTTCTCCTCCACTTAGCATCATGATTTGAGGTACATATTAAAAGTATAATACAGGCTAACTTTTGGAATCGTATGATTAATCAGAGTAAGTTACAGGGAGATTATTTTGTGCAAAATCACGTTGACGATCTCTCACTTGGATATTTCTTCTAATGTCTTTCAAGCTAGTACGATTTTTAGCTTTAATTTATCACGGAGAATTTTTATAATAACTCCATGTATAGTGCTCGGACACGAGTTACAGAAGTTGCGTCTGAACTCCTGAAAGTTCAATGAGAAATTTTTATCGTTCCGTGAAATTATGAATAAAAATTGTTTTGTTCATATTGATTTGTAATTGTTCTCTTCATATTAATCTATCATGGGATCTGTCCTTTTAGCTATATTAACATTAAGTTACTACGCTGAATCTTTATCGTTTGCAAATTAAAATGTCGAAGAAAATGGAAAAATTGAATATGAGTAGAAAAGTTATACATTAATAAAAACAAAACGCAAGATAACAATGATTTAAATAAATTTTACAAGTTTTATTCATATATGGGATAAAAATGTATATATTTGTAGCATGTAACAAAGGCTTAATAATATTCAACATATGTGCATATATTTGTACTTAAATTATTAAAAAGTTTACTTTGCTGAATATGCTTATCGATGCATTAATTATTATAATTCTTTCTTTTTTTTTCAGCCAACATATAAACAATGTCTTATTTTCCATGACAGCCAACAGCAGAGGTGCGTACGATAAACATAGCCATAGTAGTGATCGAGACAAACCCATATATCAACCCATATAGTCACCATATATCAAGAATTAAAGTTGCACAATCGAGTATGAAGACTATAACGAACTATAACGAAAGGAGAGTGACACGTCTCAATGTTGAGTGCATTCTTTCAAATTGTTTTCAAACAATTCGCGTTAATGTCACATAGCACACAGCAATGATTTGGCAAATCATTCAGTCATCGATGGGATCGATCAGTAACACTGAACAAATAGTGAACAATTCTATTGACACGAAATATGTTTTTTACGGTATTAAATATTCAACCAGATTTTAACAAACTCATGAAATAGAAGACAAACATCAGCCTTCAAAGTCTTAACTGTTGGCAAAATAAATTTGTTTAAAAAGATCGAGTGGACTAAAAATCATGGAAAAATCGCCAACAAGAATCAGATCATTGTTTCAAAACCCAATGAGTCATTGAAATCAATTATCAATTATAACATTAAAAACATCTTGATGCAACCGGTAACGAAATCACATCTTTTTTTGCTATCAATATCAGAGTTGAAA